TTTATAACAATAAAACTAATAACAAATAAAATAAATAACCTATAAAAATGTGTTGCTCAATAAAACCAGAATATTATGAACACAACTTTCACATGTATGTAGTTTGTTTAAAGCGAAAATATTAATGTGTGTGTTTTATGCCCTTACAACCTCCTTAAATCTGGTGTATCATAAGGCGTCGTCTACAATACACGGAGTAAGAAGTAAGAGTAAGAAATTGACCAATCACAGTCGAATGTGAGAAGAATAATCGACTGTGATTGGTCAATTTCTTACTCTTACTTCTTACTCCGTGTATTGTAGACGGGCCTTAATGCGGTGTCTACAATGAGATTTTAAGACGTTAAACTTAAGCTTTGAGCCTTAAGTCTTAAGAAATTGACTACAGTCAAATATGAGGAGAATAATCGACTATGATTGGACATTTTTTTACGGCTTAAGGTTTAAAACTTAAGTTTTACACTTTAAAGTCTCATTGTAGACGCCGCTTAATAGATAGATAAAATCCAACACTGCAGTCAGATGCAATAGTGCACATGCTGTAATTCGTCAGGAGAGGCAACCGTTGCACCTCACGCAGGAAATTAGGTAGAATGAGACGAAACATTATTTTTAAAATCGAAACGTTGGAACCTTTTCGAGAACGACCGAGAAACAAAATAGTTTTTCTTCGAGCGTGAGGTCAAAGTATTGCGAGAGGTAATAGACTCTTCTCCGCGAGCATTCGTATAACACGGTCCTTGTAAATCCGCCGAGCTCAAATATAAAGATAGAGTTTTTTTTCTATAACGGAGTGAAGTTTTTTTTTTCAGTACCGACTATCGCCTGTGACCATATCACTACTCTAAGCGCCGCCAAATAACGCTAAAATACATAAGAAAATGTAGAAAACGATCTTCGAACGCGCAGGTCGCGAAAAAAGTTGTACCCTCCTTTCATTTATGATCGTTAGTCTAATAAGGTTTTTCAGATTCCAACATAGTTTTAATCGAAAAAGCGATAGAAATCCAAACTTTACTTTCTTTTGAAAATTTATGCACGTTGTAATACTTTTAGTTTTTTTTTTCTAACAAAGGAAATAATAAAGTCAATAAAAGCTAACATAGTTGATTGTGTGTAATCCAAATATAATATTCACCTGTCTTTCTACAATGTATGGAGAAATTTTTTACACGGATCCCGATATTTGTTATATACACACTGAAGATAGCCTAATTTTTGGTCAAAACGTCTGTAATTTGTGATTAACATATGTATATATACATATATACATATATGTGTGTGTGTGTGTGTGTGTGTGTGTGTGTGTGTGTATGTATTTGGATTACACCTGATTAATTGTGCCAACTCTCATTGGTTTTATTATTCCCTTTGTTGATTTAATCTTTTAGCTTTTTTTAATATTAAATATTTTTTTTAATGCTTCATTAAAGTCGCTTACTGCCGGCACCCGCCGCTAGAATACTATATTTCTCGCAAGTAAAAAAAAAGCATACAGAGGAGAATAAAAAGTGTAGCATCATAAAACTATTCAGTGTTTTAAGGAAAATTGAAATGTTGCCATGAGGTCGAATGCCCCAAACCATGCTTCAAAATGAAAATAATTAAAATACACATTTTGACAGTACAATTTCGTTTAGTTCTGTGTAACTTGTAATACTAAATCAAAAAATGTAAGAATAATATTCAAAATTTAAGTTTACACTTTTTCATTTTTACGTTCAAAATCAGTAATTGGTAGAAAGTAAAAGCTATAATATTTAATACATATTAATTATGTTGTAACAAATAGAGTTTTCACGAGTTAAGACTAATTTACTTAATAGAAAAATCATTTATTTGAAATATAATTGGAAAATCATTAATTATTAAAAAATAATAATTAAATAAACAATCGTTGACTTGTATCGTAAAAATACTTTCTATAATTAACGATTTTCATTAAAAGAGCATATTCGTCATATAAATGATTATAACTTTTTATTTTTAAAGATTGTGTTCACAGATGTATGCAAGCACATGATTTACTACAATTAAGAAAATTTTCCTGTTTTTTAGTACTATATTTTTTATTAGTATATAAGGGAAGTAAGAGTGATCAAGTTCAAAATTACATAATTAAATACATAATTAAATACTGATGAAGAAATTAATTACGCATTTTGCAAAAGTAATCAGGAGAA